ATAATCAAAAGTGAGAGGATACTGAAGCATAAACTTTGAAATCCCCTCTGTTATCACCTGAGGTACCATACTTGGCTATTGTGGCCCAAATGTTTATGTAGAGGGATTTATTTTTTCTTTCTTTTTTTCTTGTTCCATGCTGGGGATGGAACCCGGGGTCTTCTGTATGCTCAGCAAGTGATCTACCACTGGGCCACACCTAGCTTCAGTAGGCATGCTATGATTTAATCAGCTTCTTTAAGATCTTTGGGTTAACATGGGGCAGTTGCCTTAGCTGGCTTCAGTGCCGCATGCCTGTAATCCCAGTGGCTCTGGAGGCTGAGGCAGGAGAATCTCAAGTTCAAAGCCAGCCTCTGCAATTTAGTGAGGCACTTAGCGACTCAGTGAGACCATGTCTCTAAATAAATTATTAAAAATAGCTGGGGATGTGGCTCAGTGGTTAAGCACTCCTAGGTTCAATCCTCAGTAACCCCCCCCAAAAAGAATAAACAAACAAAAAACAATTCGTTTGCCTTTACACCATGCTCCTTTGAATCCTCCCTGTGCACATCTGTCTTCAGATATGCTGCCTCACTCTTCTTCTGTATCCCTTGGAAAACTTTAATGGCTCCTTGTTGGCTGTTTGATGCAGACCACAATTTTCAATTTGGCAACCATTTAATGTGTCATTCAAGTTTTATGGACTTCCTGTATCTGCAACAATGTGTTAGATGGTGAGGGGACATGTAAAAAGGAAGAATACACATGATCATCCTAGAGTTTAAACAATGTGATATACACTGGTGCATGCCTGTGTTCTTAACTGTTTGGGAGGCTGGGGTAGGAAGAATACTTGAGTCCAGGAGTTTAAGGCTACTCGGGGAAAAAATGAATATGAGTGCACATACAGGTTGTGGTATGTATACATGACAAAGGGCTTGTGGTCAGTAAGGGCCTCACAATTCTTCCTGTCCCTAAAAGGTCATCATGTGGCATATGAATTTACACTGGCTGTTTTTCTTTCATTATGGTAAAACACATAAAAATGTTCATTTTAACCATTCTAAATGTTTCAATAAAAATTTTATTACTCCAAAGGAAAACCTATACCCAGTAAGCAGTTGCTTCTCAGTCCCTGGAAGCCACTTAATCTACTTCTTGTGTCTATGGATTTGTCTATTTTGGATAGTTCTTATAAGTACAATTATGTGTTAATATGACCTTTTGCATCTGGCTTCATTCATTTAGTAGCATCATGCTTTTAAAGTTCATCTATATTATAACATGTGACAGGAATTCATTCCCTTTGATGACTGAGTAATATTCCATTGTATGGATAGACCACATTTTATTTATCAGCTTATGAACTTGGGGTTGTTTTACCTTTTGGCTATTGTGAATAATGTTGCCATGTACATTTTTGTTTTGTTTTTGCTGTGAACGTTTGTGTACAAGTCTTCTGTGGACACGTGTTTTCATTTCTCTTGAGTGTATACCCAGGAGTGAAATTGCTGGATTATATGCTAATTCTGTGTTTATCTGAATGAGGAACTGCCAAACCATTTCCCCTAGTGGCCAGACTATTTTATATCCCTGCCAGCAATGTATGAAGGTTCCAACATCTTTACATCCTCACCAACACCTGTCATTCTCCTTTTGTTTGATTAATGGCCACCCTAGTGGCTACGAAGTGACATCTCATTGTAGTTTTTTTCTTTCTTTCTTTCTTTCTTTTTTTTTTTTTTTTTGGTACTAGAGATTGAACTCGGGGGAATTCTACCACTGAGCCCCATCCCCAGCCTTATTTTGTATTTTATTTAGAGTCAGGGTCTCACTGAGTTGCTCAGCGCTCTATGTTGCTGAGGTTGGCTTTGAACTTGTGATTCTCCTGGGATTATAGGTGGGTGCCACCACACCCTGCTCTCATTGTAATTTTAACTTGCATTTCCCTAAAGACTAATAGTACTGAGAATCTTTTCATGTTTGTTGGCCCTCCGAATATCTTCTTGGGAAAAATGCCTATTCAAGGTCTTCGCCCATTTATAATTGGATTGTTTGTTTTTGCTGAGTTATGAAATTTCTTTAGATATTTTAGATTCTAGACACTTATGTGATTTTCAAATATTTTCTTCCATTGTGTGGGTTGTATTTTTACTCTCTTGATAGTAGTATACTTTGATGCATATTTTAAGATTTAACGAAGTCCAACTTTTTATTTTTCTTTTCTTGCTTGTGCTTATCTAAGAAACCATTGCCAAATCCAGGGCCATAGTGCTGGCTTCTATTCCATGATTGGGAGCTGTGGCTTGCCTGAGACAGTGTCCCCAGAGTCCACATAACTCAGAACCCTATGGATGTTCACCATGTATTTGGGAGGGACGACTGTGTAGTGGGACAGGAGCTGACCCTTGGGGACAGGAAGTCTTGTGTGTGGGTCCAGCTTGACCAGGGACATGACTGAATAAACATCAAGGTGTCTTTTAAGCTGTGAGATATGGTCTGACCATAGAGGAGGATACAATTTGACACATTCTGGAGCTTTGTCAGGTTCAGGTAGCTGATAAGGCCTTCAGCAATGGTAAGGGCTTTTTGGTTGTGATGATGGAAACTGGGATCCACGGAACAGACTTATAAGTAGTAGAGACTGGCTGGTAACTTAATAATCTTTATGCATTATTCCCTGGAAATAGGGACTGGCTTAGTAAATATTTCTGGCAGCCTGATGAAGAAACTGTTTAAGGTATTCCATAACATAGACCTCCTGATGTATTGTACTCTATCTCACCTTTCTTCCAAACTTGAACTTGTCCTTTTTAGTAGACTTGCCTCCCTATTACCCTCACACTAGTCAGTTCTCTGCTTTGCATCTTCATAACCCTGCCCAGAACATCCTTGCCTCTCATCTCCTGTTTAATTCATCCCATTCCTCCAGGCCCAAGGTAGTATCCAGTTATCCACACAACCTCAGTACTACCACTCCAGGCAGAGGTGTTCAGATAAATTTACCAAAGTTTAGTATTACATGAACTTAGATTCAGATGTAGGTGCCACTAGCTACTGTGTAGCCTTGGGTGTGCTTGCCTGCCTTCCTTTGCCTTGTTTCCTCATTACTACTATTTTTACCAATGAGGAAACAAGGCAAAGAAAGGCATAAATAGTAGTAATAATGAGATCAAATGGTTTTTGTGGCAGTGAAATGAAATAAAATATGTACAATTCTTAGTAAGAAATCCCGCTCATAGTAAGTGGTCAAAAACGGTAGCTGTACTGTTTTCTGTATCTAAATCTTACTTCATTGGCAAGATTGTATGTTTCTTCTTCAAGGCAGGACTGAGTCTTGTGCTTATTTTAACTAGTATATGTGGTTCAAAGCCAATACTATAATAAGTGCTTAAGAAACATTTGTTGCTTTGAGGTGAGTTTGTGATTACCCAAAATTACTTGCTTTATTTTTATAAAATTTTATACTATTCCACCATTCATTTTGACAAACCAAACTTTTGCTTTGCTGTATGGTGATTTAGGACTGACAGTGATAACCTGATTGAATGTGTGAGTGTGCATATGTTGGGGGTAGGATGGGTAGGGATGGTGGAGGTATTAGCAATTGATTCTCCAAGGAGCAGAGCCAGGCAATAGCTTACCATCCTGAACATTGCTTCTAGCTTTCCTCCCCCAGCCTTAGAGTTGGACTGCTACCTGCCCAGGGCAGCTGTTATAAATCTGGCTGCCCTGGACAGGGCTGCCCAGACCCTCCTCCATTTATTCCAGCCATCTTCACTGCAAAAGGAAATGAAATATTTTTGATTCTCCTGTCAGACTGTCCTGCCAAAGCATCATGCTTTGCAAGAGGTTCTTGCCCTGGTTATACACAATCCTGGCAGCAAATTCTGGATAAGCATTACCTCCTGGAGAGAGAGGCAGGGTCATGAACTCAGAGGGGGCTTCAGTTGTATCTGAAATGCTTATTTCTTATGCATGGCTATGTGGCACATTCATTCTATGATATTATAAGTGATTATATTGTATCTCATATATTATCAAGTATATTATATAATATTGAATTTGCTGTTTACCATTTCATGTATGTGTAGGCCATAAGTATAATACTTTGTATATGTGGAATTATCAATTATATGTTCCCTTGTACCACTTAATTTTTCCTGGACATATTTTGGGATTTGTTTATATTGATATACATAATTTTAGACCTCTGTGTCAATATTCTGTTTTATAAGAACACAATTGGGATATCTTTTCTTCCATCTGCAGACATTTGGGTTTTTATTTTTGTTTGTTTATCCCCCTTGCAAACACTGCTGCAACAAATCATCTGATATCCAGTTCCTTGTGCTCAGGGGCAAGTGACTTTTAGGAGTAGACTTGACAGGCCATGGGACACATACACAATTCTCCTTGCTAGAAGGTGCCATCCCTGTCTTTTGAGTTCCCAAGCAGCAGTACATGAGAGGTGATGTTGGTTCGTATACCCTTGCCAACCATTGGTGATATTGACTGTGCTGTTTTTCTATCCACATCACCAAAAGAGCTGAGAGGCAAAGCTTTACAATTAGAAGAATGTCAGCTTTGAGGAATGTCTTGTTACATTTCTTCTAACGAGGACAAGATTTTGTTTTCTGTTTTGGTGAAAATAATGTTTAGACTTCTGTGGAAAATAGTTACATTTCTACTCTGAAGTAGAGGGTATTTTTCTCTTTCTTTTCTTCTGTTTGCATTCTTGGCAAATAAGTAGGAAAAACCAATTAGCAATGTTCTAAATGCTTGCTTGTGGTAATTGTTATTTTGAAATGTTTTAAATAGCATGGCGCATTAGGTTTATTCTTATTGCTTTTCAAAGTTTTGAATTCGTTAAAATGAATTGAATTTAAAATGTGACACAACTTTAGGGATAAAGATTGATCATAATTATTTACCACTCTCTGCATTTTGGGATGGGAAAAATAAATGAGATAGCAGAAAAAGTAACTCTGACTATTTTATGTTGTCTCTTGTCCTCTCAGGTGGGAAAGGAGAAGTTCCATAAATCCCAACATTGGGGCTTTTGCAACAATGTAAGGATGCTAGTAAGTGATGAGAAACCTGGAATAGGTGGAGTACCACTTATTGGGCAAAAGATAAAGCCTAAATATGGCGCATATCCTAAAGGAGAAGGAATTGATGTGCCATCCTGGGTAGCTTTTGATAAACAGGTAAGTCCTGGCATTGGGAAAAATGTAATCGTAAAGTTTTACATGTTGATTTGAGAAAATAAGAGTCTTCAATATAAATGTTAAGCCTAATTCTTTGTTTTCTTTTTGGCTTTTATACATATGATTTCCTTTACTTTGGGTGTTTCTCTTTTAATTTTTTAATTGACATGTAAAAATTGTATATAGTGAGGCTGGGGTTGTGGCTCAGTGGTAGAGCACTTGCCTAACATGCATGAGGCACTGGGTTCGATCTCCAGAACCACATAAAAAAACTAAATAAACAAAGTAAAGGTATTTTGTCCATCTACAACTAAAAAAATTGTATACACTTAGCCCTCTGTGTGCACAGTTTCCATATCTGTGGATGCGACCAACCTATGATTGAAGATATTGAGAAAAATATTACTTCTATACTGAACATGCATAGACATTTTTCTTGTAATTATTCTCTAAACAATACCATATAACAACTATTTACATAGCATTTACATTTTATTAGGTATTATAAGCTATCTAGAGATGATTTAAAGTATATGAGAGGATTGTGAAGGTTATATGCAAATACACCCCATTTCATGAACATCCTTGGTATCCATGGGGGTCCTGGAACAAATTTTCCACCAACACTGACGGATGACTATGTATGGAGTACAATATGTTGTTTTGAAATATGTATACATTGTGGAATGACAAAATCAAGCTAATTAGCATGTGCATTACCTTACATACTTATCTTTTTTTTGTGGTGAGGACACTTATAATCTACTCTCTTAGCAATTTTCAACTTGCTACTAACGGCTGTCACCATGCTTTAGAATGGATCTTTTGAACTTATTCCTCCTGTCTAGCTGAAATTTTGAATCCTTTATGACCACAGCTATTTCTTGGCTATCTCTAGGCAAAAAGACAAATTCCAGAGAAAAATACCCTAAACAAAGATTAATTATCCTTGCTCTGATGTTTCTGATCAGGCACATGGGTTGCAGAATGCCTGGCTAGTGCTTCTCGACCATATTCTCTTTTTCTCTGTACAGGATAATCTGTTGTTCTGTAGACTAAGTCTGGTCACCCTGTTATTATTTTTGCTTAGTGAGTTGCCATTAGCTAAGTAATTTTGCTTCATTCTGAATGTGGAATTAAATAGGAAGAGAAATTTACCTTATCTTCTTTCCTCTGTACTAATTATGATTCCCTAAGGACTAAAGGGTGACTTGGCAAGGGTGACATGGCAAGAATTGTAGAAGTGAAGGGAAGAACTGCCATTATTAGATGAGAGTCTGAAAATACACACACACACACACACACACACACACAGAACACACACACAAACACACACAGAGTTAAAAAAGGAAATGCATTTGATGCATTTGAGTGTCTATTTTTTTGTGGTACTAGGGATTGAACCCAGGGCCTTGAGCATCCTAGGCAATGCTGTGCCACTGAGCTACACCCCCAGCTCTTGAGTCTCTTGAAGAGGGTCTAAGATCAAAGGAAAAGAAACCCAAGGTAACCAGTTTTTTCCCCAGAAGGCAGTTATATGGATATGCTGTGTTTAGCAGAAAACCTTGTATCAGAACCCCATGTTCTATTCTCCAAAAAAGAACCTGTTATTAGATTATTTTAGACCCTATAATTAAAAATAATTCAGAACTAGATGAAGCATTCAAATCATAGTATGCCTAGTTTACCAGGTGGTTTTTTTTAGCAGTCTTTAACGTGGATTGGTTGGCAATCCTTTGATTCTAATTAAAATGTCCTCAAATATGGTTGAAGTGACACATTCAATTTCATCTGATAGGGTACATCAATTAGAGCACACACATATTTTTTTTCAAAGCCCAGTTCTGATGCTTAATAGAGATCTAACAGGGCACAGGGAGCCTTTTTTCCTAGGAAACCATCTACTTCCAACATGGGCCAATACTTCTCATTATTATTATTATTATTATTATTATTATTATTATTATTATTATTTTCAGTTCCTGGTTCAGGGCAGGACCTAGAGCTCAAAAACAGATTTTGGACTGACTGACTTGGGGTGATTAGGCCTGGGTTTCTGTTAGTCTCAATCTTATAGGATATTGAATTTGCAAGGGTCAAAGAAAAAAATCTATTTTTACCTTACATCGAAAAGAGGATATTGACATTATTTTTAACTAATCCACTACTGAATAAGTAATGTAGATCACAATGTATTAAACCATTCTCCTGCATTTAAAGTTGAAATTTCATGTTTTTCTCAATATTTAATATGTGCCTTTCAAGCCTATTTTGCAGCTCTTTAATTACTTATAAAATTATGTAGAATATTTCATGAAGTTGAAATGATTTTAGCTTCAGACTACTTGAGAAAATGAAGAGCTTGTTCATTTCAGATCTAACTAAATGCAACATAATTCTTTTGGTTATTTTGTTGGTCAACTTCAATTAAATATTCATCGAGCTTTAAACGAGACCCTAAGACTATGAAATATTTACATGCCCTGACGGGATTGTGAGCTACAGACTAGATCCTAGTTAATACCCAGAGCAAATTATAAAGTGCTTTCTCCATTAGTGGGTTCAACAAAACAAGTCAACACCTGTTAATCATTTTTCTTAAAAATGAGACACTTTCAACTTGTTGCCAGTTTTTCCAATAGCTCTTAATCCTAGCAATATTTCTAGGGCTGTGCTCTCAAACAATACAAAATGAAAATAAAGGCAATTCTTTGGAGAGTGTATTAAAATTAATATTTGTAGTATGTGCTCTTGGTGCTACCCAGATCCACATGGGGGCTGGGCACTACTCCCATCCCCCAGCTGCAGCAGATGCTTTGATAAGCAGCTTGCACCTGTAATCCTCTCTAGAGACTTGCTCTTGACAGATGGGAGTTTCAGCTCCTAGAGACACCTGGGAAGTTACGCTGGCTTTTTTTCCCCCAAAGCGGGCAACCAATGACTGACTGATTCCTTGCCTGAAAATGTGACTGTGCTGTGATTCAGGTCCATGCCCCCTCGTGCATTAGCCAAGGCTTAACTTGATCTGCGAATGCATCCTTGCTTAGTTCGTTTCCTTCTCCTTTCCTGTCTACCTCACTCCCTAACAGGTTTCTCTCCAAAGTGTGCCCTTAGGAAATTGCATGTGCCTAATCGGTTTTAGGTTCAGCTTTTATGGAACCCAATCTAGGATAACATTCCATTTTTTTTTTATCCATAATTCTGAAAGTGACCGTAAGAATGCCTTGCTCAGAGAAAGAACGCCCAACAGAGAAAATGCTGTTTGCAATCACCAAAAAGAGCCAGTATTTGTTACTTTGCATGATTGATCCTCATGGTGGATGCTTCTTGCTCTTTATCCTTATTCATTCACCCTTCATTCTTACAGACAGTTTTATGCAGGCTGGAAATGTGCTCGCTTAAAAGTGTTCACCTTCCATAGGGCTAGCCATGTGAGTCACTTCTGGCCAAAGATATATTTGTTAAGGTTTATTGAGTAAGGCTTTGGGGACAGTTACTGTTTTACTAATGAAAAGAGTTAGGCTCTGCTGGTATGATTTTCCTGCCCTTTACCCTTCATTTATTTTCTCCTCTGAAATTAGGGCATAACTCTTTGGATCTGGCAACCATCTTGTAAGGACAGCAGAGATAAATAGAACATAGACCCCTGTTGGCATCATGGAGCCACCATTTCAGACTCAGGCTGCCTATCTCTGGGCTTGTTATATGAGAAATATCAACCCCCTATTTCAGAGGTTCTCAATCTTGGGAGGCATTTTGAAATGTATGGAAGTGTTCTGGGTTGTCACAATGACTAGGAGCAGGGCTCAGTTAGGGTAAAGCATGTGAGTTTGCTTTCGGTGCACCATTTCAGGGATGTCCTGGAACTTAACAATCAAGTTAGGTATTTGAGTGTAGCACATTAAAAATTAATGCAGAAAATTCATGGTGAACAAAATACCTATATTTTATGTAAAGACAGGATCAGCAACTGTGCCAGGTAAGCCATATTGGAGCCTGAGGCAAAAGGAAAAATCAGTCACACTGATCCCATCTTTATTTAACATTTTTGGTATTTTGACATTTTGTTCATTATAAATTTTTTTGCATTAGTTTTTATATTTTAAACCACCTCATCCTGGGGCTAGCCCTTATTAGAAGGTGCTGCTGGGGGCCAAGTGTGTATTGCACATCCTGCAATGTGAGAACAGTGACCCAACACTTGGAAGAACTGTTCTACCTGTAATGCCAATATGGTTTCCATTGAGAAACATGGGAACCTGCTTAAAACCCCTAGCACTGGAGTGGAGGGGGACAGTGTACAAACAACTAAAATAATTTTGCTTGATATTGTGCCCACCTGGAAAGGGCTAGTGATGTCATTGAATTCACTTGAATTAAAGAAGGCCATGATATATCACGGTACAAACAAAACCACTCCATATCAGGTTAGAACACAGTCAGAACACAGACATTGTCCAAGCACAAAATGCATCACTCTCACCAACTGTTCCCGGTTATCATTCCAGTATTTCCACAAGGAAGAAGCAAGCCTAGACAATTGTCCTCACTGTATAAATGAGGAATCATTTGCAAGGATAAGTGGAGCAGAGGTCAGAGTCTGCATTTCGATGTTGGAGCCACTGGTTCTGATCATGACCTGCCATTAAATAGCTATGTGATTGTGGCTTAGTCCCTTTACCTTTCTGAGCCACAGTTTTCTTCACTTTTTATAACACAGGGTTTGGCTAGTTAGACTACCTCTAGTAGTCTATGCCTAACACTTGTCTAAAGTCAAGTTTATCTCATTCATTCTAGAACTGAGCACAGACCCTGGATCTCTTGGCTTGGGGCTCTTTAGAATTACATCAGGCACCAACTGCTTCATCATTAATTGAAATTTGGCATTCAGCAGTTTATGATATGCTGTGGTTTCTATCACAAATGATCCTATGGTTATCTACTTTTATAAAAACTCAAAATATTTAGAAATACACAAATGCCTAAATGTTTTCATGACT